TAGTCGCTGGCTGGGGTTAAACCACAACACTTTGACATTATATGATAAGGCAAATACACTTTATCTTTTAGAAGTAATTTAATTAAATGCAAAGAAATTCAGAGTTGTTAGCTAATTAAGTACTCCAGATATAATCTGGTTTTGCATTTCAGCTTTCAAAATCATTTTGTAGCGGAGCTGCAGATTGTCCCAAACACTGATGTTCTGCTGCAGCCAATTGAAAGCAGAATTTGCTGACTCAACAGCTAATACCACCCACTTGCTCTCCGCTTTTACCATAAGTGCTCAGCAGGCTCTCAAACTGCGCAAGCAAGCCAATGGTGTAGAGTTGTCTTAGAAATCCATCATCATGCAGGCAGTTCCTCAGCTTGATAATGAAACCACAAATGAGAGCTGTCAGCTGTGGGAGAGAAAACAGAGAAGAGTGAAATGATTCAAGACAAAAAAGGCTCTTCAGCCCCAAATGGAAACAATATCACACATAAGAGGTGCCATAAAATCTGTCAGACTGATGTTCTTTTCCCTTAAATATCACTCTTCTTTTCCTTGCAGCTGAAGAGAGACAATCAACCAATAAAACCCAAAAACATTCATAAAATCAGATTTAGGGCACACTGCCTTCATCTCACAAGCTCTCCCAAAATGGGACTGCTGTTGATTTTGCATCAATTTGTTTTCTGGACACAATCACTTGTATTAGGGTCTACAATTTAGGAATTACAAAAGAGTCTCCCTGGAGAACTGTTTTAGTTACAGATGGAAACGCAACACAGCTAGTTCCAGGCCATGAATTTTGATAATATGAATAAATTATTTTTTTAAATGACATTTTAAGAAAGTTTAAAAATGCAATACCTGTTTGTATTATGCAAAGATTCAAACTCCAGTGTCATGAGATATTCAGGACAAGGTCCTGAAGACCTAGTACTAAGATCTATGATTAGTACTAGTGTTAATTCACTCTGTCAACAAAGGAATTTCCCAGGTGATTGCCATATGCTACGTACACAGGTGTATGACTTTGCTACAGAATTAACCAAAAGGGAATAAAGTTCTGTTTATGATGGGTAGACATATTCAAAGCATTGAGCTTAAAAATGATCTGCAAGATGAAGTGGGTTTTGTACAGAAAAATCCCCTTCATTTATCTCTATGAGATAATACATTTGGGACAACAGCCCTACCAAACAATGTCCAAGAGCAGCTGTTTGAAATAAATAAATGAGATACTGATTTCATGGGGAAGCAGACACACTACAGAAGTGTATCATGCAGAAGAAATGTGGAAGGTTTTTTAGTGCAGACACCTGCTAGTCAGTAGCTGACACAAAAGACCCCAGCAGGTCCAGAAACAGAACTTCTAGGGGGAAAAAAAAAGCGCACTTATTTCTCTCCCAGTAGCTGGACTACTCTCCTTAGGTACCACAGGTCCTGTTGGTTTTCTTGATGCAGAAAACAACAAAAGGTAACTCACTGGCTTTTTTCCCCCCCTCTTTCATGTCTTACTTCTAGTTTTAATTTGGTGGAATTGGAAGGCAAAAGTTGTTTCTGTAGACATCAGTATATTTTCACTATTTCTGGAATTTATTTTTTTTTTAAATAGTGAATGTATATCCAAGGGGACACTTAAGTTATATATTCTCAAATGCATGTAAGTGACCAGTAAGGACAGGATAACGTAGCCTATGAGAAGAGATCACAGTGTTAAACCTGAGAGTAGAATAGATCTGAAAAATTCTGAAAACAGTCATCTTTCATATTTCATATAAGCCCCACCACAAGTCAAAGTGCAATCAAATCATGCATATTTGCTTGCTTACAGTTTGGCAGAAGACAACATCCCTGCGATATTGAAGGCTCAGGCAGAGCCCTATTGTCGGGGCGCTGTCCTGCATTAATAAAAAGACCATGGCTTTCTTTGCCTTGTCACTCATCATGGCTACACAGTCTGTGAGTGTTGTCAGCAAGGGATAAAGAGCTTCGCTCCATTCACCTAGTTAAAAGAAAAAAAATTAGCAGCACTGTAAGTACTTTATTTGAAACAAACAAACAGGCATTAAGAAGAAACTTTAATGTCAAAGTTGTTGACAATTGCAAGTCAAAGTTGTTGACAATTCACATTTAGGGCTTGTTTTATTTTGGCTGGCTGGTTACTCCTTGCTTGTTATAAATTAAGTAATCTTACAGAGTGGTTATCACATGAGGAAAACATGGATAATTCTACTCTGTAAGGCTGTTATGACTTTCCCAACAGTGTAATAGCTCCCAGGTTTGTGCCCACAGAACAGGCTATACAATAGTTGATTTGGAAAGCATAACAGAAACATGAATATCTATATACATAAGTGTATATAACTGCGTGTGCATGTTCAAACACACCCTTTCACAGTGCATACATGGACCAATGGTATGGAGTCCATCGTATAACAGAAATAGTGAACATTGGCTTAGCCATTTCTGTCAATGAGATTTCTCCCAAATATCTTGCCTTTGAATCTTTTGTGGACTCACAGGTATATCATTCAACTGCCTCACCATCTTACTGATCCTTGTTGCACCTCGGTGAGGTAAGATGATGCTTATCTCCCATTTGCAGCATAGGAATAATAAGGCAGAGAGGAGAAAAATTCATGTAGGTACTCTTTTAAGTGTCCTCTGTCTGCTGAGTGGCTTTGAAGGCTTAGAGCTAGCTAGCAAGAAACAGTAAGTATAATGATTTAGATGGGAGTTAGACAGATCCTTGGAAGTAGTTCGGCACTTGACTGCCGCTGAAATACACGAGATACTGCCCAGAGGGATGCTGTTCAAGGTCCTACACAGGAAGCATAGAAATGAAACTGGGTTGCCAAAGTCCTATTTTAGTTGCTATTTAGTCCTATTTTAGTTATAAGAGATTGCTCTGCCTTAAAATGACCCACAAGCTCAGTTTTTTTCCTTTCCTTATTTCATCTTTTGTCTTAATCAACTACCAATTTCAAAAACTCATTTCCATGACTGTACAAAAAATTATTCAGATGCTATACCAAAATCCATTCCCTCTGCAATATAAAAAGAAAATAGAACAGTGCTTTGGATTTGCCCTCCTCAATGTAAGGTTGAAACAGAAGAACAGTTCTCTTTTTAAAGGGAAGCACAATGTGTTTTATTTTTAAAAAGCACTGGAGCTCACAAACAGGACACACAGAACCCCCAGCCTGGCTGGCTGTAGGAACAAGACGACGTAAAGATCAGAACCTCCATGAATGGGGCACTTCAAGCCCCTGAAAGGAAGTTGTTTGGGATTTTGACTCAAAGGCAGGACTAAGAGCTAGTAACAATAAACGTTTCTTTGATAACCAGCCAAAGAGGGGAAGTTCGGAAGTCTGCTAAGAGAAACATAACTGACAAGATTAACAGAATTATCCTTTTTGCTTTTGTTCTATGTAGTAGATAGATAACCTAATAAACTACACAAAGGGGAAGTTGTTTGGCTCTGTTCAATTGCCATAAAAAAAAAGCAGGAAACTTCAAAAGAACAGGCAAGGAATTACAGCTTGTCTTTTATATACTATTAAGTATTTTTCTCTTAAACTAAATCAGATGTCATAACATGGCTCCATGAACACTTAAAAAGCAAAACACAGATGATAGTAACAGTGTTTCTCTTACTGTATTTAAGAGCTTTTCTATAAACAAATGAGAATGACAAAAAGAACTGAAGATTGTATTGGGTTTGTGCGGCAAGGTTTCCCATTGGTTTCCCTAACCCCAGGAGCCCATGCTGTAAGAGTTCAAAGACTGAACCTTCACTGAACTCAGATTAAACTACTCTCAGATGGGAGAAATTACAGCCATCTAGCCGGGAGAGAGTGGTATTACAGAGGCATATTATTCAGACCTCGTAAATGCAATGCAAGTGTGCAGAAGTACAAGGACAGAGGAAAGGCGGCTAACACTGGGATGAAAGTCTCCTAAATTCCGTATTCTGAAACATTAGATTCACAGTGCCCACCACTGCTTGGTGTGTATCCACACCAGAGATTTTCCATCAGCCTTGTTGACTGCTCCATGTTCTGCTTGAGTTCTCATTCAGAAAGGCCAGCTCAACAGCACATACGAAAGGGCACGTCTGAAACATCTGAAATGTCTGAAATGTCAGACACCCACAGACTTCAATGACGTTTGTAACAGGCCTCAAATCATTGTCACGTACAACAGTTTGCAAAAACACATCAACTGGAGAAACCAAGGAGACTCTGAACAAGTTCTTTCCCATACCTGGACATGAGAAGTTACCAGATACCCTCCTGCACTGTTACTTAGGAAATAATAACTTCTCAATATGCTTAGGTAACTCATGTGATATTGCAGAGCATTCCCATTTCAAAATGGTCAATCTTAACAGCAAGGCACTTGTTCAGCTTTAATTATGAACAAACCCCGGCAATTTTCAGAAGAAGCAGAAGCCATGAATGCACATACCTGGGCCAGATTCTTCCGGAGCAGGGCTGCAATCTGCACAGAAATGGAGGGGCAACATGCATGATTAAGGAGCAGCAACATAGTCTAAATATAAGCAACTCAAATGCTCAATGCCAGGGTTCTCAAAATGCTTCTACCGAGGGAAGAGGAGCTGAGCAGAGATACTGCTTTGCCTGCGGGCACTGAGGCCAGGGGCTGACTCCTCCACTCCACTGTTTCTGACAAGAGGAACACCTGGATGGGGACTTGGAGGAAAGCCAGTACCCACTAGCTCAGGGGCTCTCTGTGGATTACCAGCAAGGGCACTGTCAATCCCCAGCAATCCACAGGGCACAATCTGAGAGCTGCTGGTTTACTGCAATTACAGAATAAGCTGGCAGTAAAGCTGCTAAACAGAACAGCAAAAGACTAGCAGTAAGTTCAGTGCACTTAACAGAAAATGACATTGAGGCACCCACAACACAAGAATAATAAAGAAACAGTACTTTGCTATCTTAGACAAATTTCTGTTACACAATTTCTGAGATAGTTAAGACAAGTGTTAGATTGTATATTAAGGGCTGAAACCTCACCAGTGAAGCCTGTGAGTGTTCCACACTCACTTCAGTGGGAGGAACAAGCTGTCAGGTGAAAATACACTACAGTGCCATGCAAACAGTAAAAAAAAATAAAATACACATTCTGTTATAGCAAGTCTTGCATTAATGAAAAGTAGTTTGTTAAGATAACAGGATTTAAATTTCTGCTGTTTCTATCTAGATCCACTAGTCAATGAATTATGAATTTGAAAATAACAACAGTAAATATCAAATTCAACTGTATGCATTAGGACAATCAGCTGAGCTAGACAATCCGAGATAAAAAACCTCTCAGTAAATTAAAAGTCATCATGTTCATTAAAGAAGCTATATGCTCCCATGTAATTTTAGTAGTGAATACCTAAGCCTATAACAAAAATAAATTTTAAAAGAATTTCTTAAGTCTCCCTTCTACTATTTCAGGCAGTATTTTTTTCCACAAACATTTATTTCTAGACAGATCCTCTAAAGTCCTTCAAGAACATTCTACTGTCTGTCTCTTACCAATTCTGGAACTATTTTGGTTTGCAGGTTTTTACATTGCTTCCAAAAAAACTTCTGGCTGCTCTCTGCTTTAGTGTCATTTATTCAAAACTCAGAATTACTAACAGAAAAAGTATTACTTCTTTGAATCCATGACAAGGAAAAACTTTAAAATGTTGTGATTCTGAACTTACAAAAAGGATCTTCTTTGTCCCCCAATTACTCCCATGATTAGCTGTGGAAAGTGACAGTGAAATGGAATTCATAGAATCATAGAATAGTTTGGGGTGGAAGGGACTTTTAAGGGTCATCTAGGACAAACCCCCCTGCAATAAGCAGGGACATCTTCAACTCCATCAGGTTGCTCACAGCCCTGTCCAGCCTGACCTGGAATGTTTCCAGGGATGGGGCACCTACTATCTCTCTAGGCAACCTGTGCCAATGTTTCACCATCCTCATCGTAAAAATTTTCTTCCTTATATCTACTCTGAATCTACCTTCTTTTAGTTTAAAACCATTTAACAGGCCAGGTTTGGTGTGGAGTCAAAGAAAGTAACTCAATGGGAAAATTCCCATTAATTTCAGTAAGACCAGGTTTTTTTCATAGTATTGAACCTGTTCCTTTGTCAAAAATACTGACCATTAATTAGGACCTACATCTGATGAGAATGTGATCAAGTACTCGGCTTGCCCTGGCTTACAATAAACTTCCCAAATGCAATTCATATTGCTCATTAAGACCTACAAACAACATTTGCACCAGATACCTAAGAAACAGGATTCCCTCTCCAGGATTTTTTGAGTTAAATTCACCCAACGCTGGTTGACAGTCAGACTTCAAATCTAGTCCTTACACTTAGGTAGCACTGGGAAATGGCAGCAAGCCCCTTAGCTTTAAAGCTTGTGATACTTCTCAGTTTAATGTTTCTGTCCCAGGTTCTGTGGATTAAATGGAAAGATTTTTTTTCCTATTTTGGAGGAACAGCAAGGAAAGGTTAGAGCAACTGTTGGGACAAACAAACCCTTTGGTAGTAAGTGCAGCTAATTCCACTTTTATATGGCACGTGTCAAGATCCAGAGTAGATTTAAAAGATTGATGGAAAATGAAAGAACATGATTGTTCTAACATGCTTTCAGCATCGAATTGTCTTGGGAAAAGCTTCTGATATCACCCACCACAGGTTTTTCCTATTCTTTTTAATATTAAAAATCCACAACTTTTAACCATTGATATGAAGGTGCATTGAAGTTTACTGACAAAACTTCCATGTAAATACATATAGAACTTTATGTAAACTAGCTAGCAAATAAAAACATTTAGAGGTATCAAACTGCTAGAAGAAATTTAGTCAAAGATTAATAGAGAACACATTCTGAAACAAGAACCAACTCTCCTATTCCTTTATAATACACAAAAATGTCAGCCTAATCTAGAAAAACATGGTCATTTAAGATACTAAGCAAGTCATATGTAACATGTACAAAGCTATACAAAAATACATTAACATTTATTTTAACTTCCTTCTTGTTTTCTTTTTCTTAACGTACTGCCTTCCACTGCAACATTAACAATGGGATGGACATGAAGTCACAGACACACATAAGGGACAAAGGGCCATCAAACAGTAAGACAGAACAGGAAAAAGGAAATGAAAACACAAATCAGTCTTTCTAGAGCTTAACTTGGCACCCCTGCTCTATTAAGTGGCCAAATCATAGTGACCACATGTAAAGAATGTCAGAATAAGTTAAATAAGTACATACGTAAATGAAATAATGCTGAAATATAATGCACGGCTGGAAAACTGTCAACCTAAACTGATAAGGATATCTTTCATTCACATGCTCATGGCATTATGCTGGATTCAATCCAGCACCCATTTTACCTCAAATTTTGATAGGATTATTCCACTGAGACCTTGCACTGCCAACTCCTATCTGCCAGCTACAAGACGACTAACTAACCGAGTACCTCAGCACCACAGCTTTTGACAATTTGGGTTAAAATTTGCTTTAAACTCCAGTAGGTTCATCCAAGTTCAGCTCAGTCTAATGGGACTGCTTGGCTCCCCTTCTACGCTTTGGCAGCCCAGCTGGGACCATTAGTGTTGCAGTAGTGCCTGCACTTCTCTCATGTTTTATTTATCGTTTATAGAGGTTCACTGTAATAAGCTTTGATTGCTGCAAAGAAGCTGAAGCCAACAGGAAAGCTACCAGAGGTGGTGTTTGACATATGCTAACCCAAACACCTGCTTTACCAGCTTAAAACACCCAGCTTGAAAACCAAATGCCACTGTCATCAATGGATTTGGCAATGATTTCAGTAGGATCAGGATTTCAAAATAAGTAATGGGCTTAGCAGCGCCCAGTACACCACCAGCCCTTTCTGTCTGACATCAGTGCTTAACACCACCACTGAACTAAAAACACGTGGAAGGATGTAACGGAGGCTTAGGAATGATGCCAGCGCACAGCAAGAGAGCAGCAGTGAGAAGCAGTGTCTGGCATACGCACTTGTCTTTCTGAGAGAATGACATGCACAGGATGGTGTGGATGAAGGAGGTGGTGAGGATGATGAAGGTGGTGAGGATGATGAAGGTGGTGAGGATGATGAGGTCTCATTTAAATCTTGTGGATTTATCCAGTAGGCACGAGTGTCCCGATTACCTTTCTTACTAGTACAGCTGATGTCGCATTGGAAAACATCTTCACAGCTGTCACTTTGCAAGCGCTCCTTCTGGAGAAGTTTGTCCACTCTCTGTATAATACACTCCAGACTTTTGTCAACATTCAACCAAACTTTCTCCTTAAAAGAAAACATTTCTTTCTCAATTTAAAAAGAGACATTGGGTAACAAATCCTTTAGCAATATATTTCCTCCTGTGATCCTAGTCACAATTCCTCTGCAAAGTGTCCTCCGGGCTATCGTGTTTACGTTTGTGCACATACAAATTCTGGATAGATAAATAATGTATATCAACATGTCAACAATGTATAGTGACATGACTTGTGTGGCAAATTGCAAAGCTATTTCTAAGCAAATTTACTGAACAATTTTAAGTGCCTCTTCCTGCACTATTATTCCAATTTCCAGTTGGCACTACTGTTTATTCTTGAAACTCATGTTTGACATAATAATTGTATACAATCACACATCCTTTTTCCTATATAACTCAGTGAATAACAGATAAAATTACTCTATTGTATTACTGTCTAAATAACTGAATTGGCTTTATTCATATCTCATTACTGTAAGTTTGACTATAAGTCAAAGTATGCCAAAACAATTAAACCTAGCAAGGATCCATTTCCAAAATGAATTGGATCTCATTTTGAAATTTATATTTCACAATATTAATAATTTTTTTAATTAGTCTTGACTATTTTTGAGATTTAACTAACTTCTGTTTATATTACACAATGACAGAATTTTCACAACCCAATTCTCATTTCAGTTGGCAATGTGGTAAGGAAAACCATTTAGACACTTTGTGCAAAGAGTTTTAAAATGCTGCCAGTAATCTAACAGAGATGGACTGCAAGTTCTAAATATTTGGATGACAATAAAAACCAGGAAGGCTGGATTGTATAGCTAACACATGCAAAATATGCTTTATTTTGGAGACGTGTAAAAGTCCTTTGTAGTATGGTCAGTTTTTTCCTTTAAAAGCTATTTACTTTCCCTTGGAACCAACTTCAGAAAAGCCATGCACCTACTGTAATGATTTCCACTCTTTAGGAGACCCAGAAATATTTATTAAGGCCTGTTTGTATCCCCATGCCAGGGAGTAACTGAGCATAGGATACAGGCATTGTCTTTGCTGGTTGACCAATACCTCCAAAATACTCATCCTTTGCATATCTGGCGAGCAGTTACAGAGCTTATAAACAAAAGAACACAGCAAACAAAAGCTAACCAGAAGAAAACAGTCATCACTCCACTAAGCAAACATACCCATTCCTCTTCATGCCAATCCACCTGCAGAGAAGATCGGCTATTTCTTCCTGTCCATCTGGCCACAAGTGTATCTTGATCATTCCTCAGCATCACTTGCTCCCCTTCTCCAGAGGTTGGAGATGCTTTTGAAGCTATGTAGTCTGGCCTTGCAGCATTCAGTCCGTGTATTGAATTTGCCAACAGCTTGCAGTCACAGACTGTGACAAGTTGCCGGGTCTTTTTCAACCCCCCCCCCCCCCCCCTTAAACAATTTATCATTATTCTGTATACAATTTATAGTATATTCTTTCACAGAAAGAAGAAAGAACTGGTATTCTGTGAAAGAAACTAACCATAGCTTAGGAGTCTCTAAGGTGCCTTTAAAATCATTTTACAGAATGGCCTTAAAAAGCAATATAGGATACCAAAACACAAATGGCGCATTTCCAAAGCCTGTACTACTATATTAGCCTTGCAATTGTTGAAAATTTCACTAAGAGATGTGCAATTCACCTTCATTTGCACTTCATTCTCCATTTGATGAAAGCTTAGAACAATGTGCAGACATTTTTATACCCCACACAACAGTTGTCACACCAGAAAGACCATGCTAAACCTCCACCATCCTGTCCGAAATCATAACAAGACTTAAGAGGAGGGCTGAAGATATAACCCACTAATCAATGCAACTTCTTTCCTGTCTTATTTAGTGGCATTGTATCAAAGGATTTCTGTAAGTTATGTGAATATGAAAAATATCTGGCCTGTGTGACTATTAAAAAAAGAAAACAACAAACAAGCCCTTACATTATATATATACATGTTGTCCAGCTGTAGAAAATCCCACAGATCAATTATACACACTATACTTATTTAGAGTGGATATTACAGAAAGTAATACATTGACATGGGGTCACAGTATTTTTTGCACTCTGTAAAGTTGTATGCATATCCCCTCCACTGAGACAACTTATGGCAAGCTGATTGGCCATTACTGCCATTTACAACCTTCAGATCTGCTTCAGGGACAGAAGAGGTCAGTAAAACTGTATTTGCTTTTTTGTCCCTGTAAATACAATTGTGTTCAGCTGTGGGTCCCGTCTGGTTTCTGTTAGCACCCATCAAGAAATAACTGATTCACATCACTATATTCAAGTGAAGGCTGTGCCACCATTATTCCTCCTTTCACCAGTGGAAAAATACAGAATTGTTTCATTAAACTTTTGCATGGTTGCTGCTGCTTGACAGATGACTCAGAGGAACATTAAAAAAAACCCACTGTGGTTATGGAGAAAAGGGTATAAAAGAAAGTGAAGAATGCACGTTTCTGGAATATGATGAATGAATAGAGGGAACCAGAGGACATTGCTCTCCACTGAACTCTCAAGAGCAGGTGAAGGCAAGACTGTGAAAAGTAGGAGACAACCTAAATAAAAAGCAGCAAATTTTAAAGGCTGGTCTGATTTTGCTTTTTGATTGTACACATTATAATACATTACTGAACAAGGTAAAACAGATGTTTCAAGAAAACCTACTAAAGATAGACATAGAGAAAAAAAACTACACTGTGCTTCAGTGTGGAAATGTGTCATTCTCCTACCTTGTCTGCTAGGATGGCAAGTGTTCTTTCAAGGCCATTAGCTGATCTATCCTTGGCAGCTCTTGAGAGCCTCTCTGCATAGTAACTGACTTGGGTTTTCAGGGTGTTGATTTGTGCAATAATTTCCTTTGCTCTAACAATGTCCTGTGGGATGTATATTATCGACTGGGAACTTGTTGAAGTGCTGAAAAAGAAAGACTAATTTTAGGGGGAAAATTGATCCAGAAGTACACACATTACAGTGGCATGCTGGGGAATTAATGGCAGACAACAAAAATTTACCTCAGCTAGCAATCAACAGTGAAAGGCCAGTGGGCAATTGCACAGCAGGAACATGATCCTAGAGCCTTCTCTGCCTTTACTCAAAGCATTCAGATGCAGATTTACTAATCCCTTATGCCAAGAGGCTGTGGGCAAAGCTTGTATACCAGAGGGACAGTTTTGCTGAGGAGAATGTGGGTGAATGATTTTGCCACCAGATACAGAACCACTGTTTGCAGAGACAGCTGGCCTCACTCTCCCTCTCCTTACGACACAGACACTTCACTGAGGCCTGGTTTACAAACCTGTCTTATCACATAGCTACTAGCACCATGAAAAGAAAATCTGCACTCCTTCTAACACAGAAATGCCACTCAGACACATAATGCAAACACTGTGGCATTAACAAAAAATCCTTCTGCTAGTATATCCTTTCCTCTATTGCAGGCCTGATTCAAGTTACACCAGCAAAAGCAATCTTATGATATATAAAAACCAAAGTGTATCTCCAGGCTACTCCAAGGACTCTGTCCTTGGCGTAGCTGCTGTTAGCACACACTTGCTATACTAAACTAGGGACAGGATACAACTCTCACTATTATAAATTCAGCTGTAACAATATAAAGCAATACCAAAATTTGGCCTTTTCCAAATAGTAAAGGAAATAACCTATACCAATAAAACACATCTTTATATTGGGATACCGCAGCTCAATTACAACTGCTTACCTGGCAGTGGAGGAGAATAGTTTATGTCCTCTAAGTTTAGATGTCTAGAGGAGTTGCTTATCCAGTCCAAGACAGATGCTTGGACTCCCTCTGTAACTGCTGGAGAGAGGATAGGACTTCTAAAGGGTGACTTAATCCTGCCTGAGAAGAGCTGTTTGCAAAAGCTGACTTTTAGCTTAGAAAATTACTTTAAGCTGAAGCTGTGCTCTTAGTTAACTATTTGGAACCAACCCATCGCTACTCCCTTTGCCAGGCAATAGGCTGTTTTTTTCCTCCCAGTAGGAAAGCTATACAAAGATCGAGCCTTTACGTCAGCTCCAGCTGTGACAAGCGTGATGCCCGTTCATGACGTTGCATCAAGCATGAGGTGACACCAATTGTACATTATCTTAATTTTATTCATTTTTCCAGTCATGAATGGCTTCAGCAGAGTAACAGCACAGAAGAACCTACTGTTTGCAGCAATCTCAGCACTGTTTGACAGACACAGCTACACTGAGAGACTACACAGAGAGGAGTTTCTTTTCCAGGCACAGTTACCCGGATCACAACCTCCGAGGAGTGTGAATTCCTCTGCTACCCCTAGAGCAATGCTGTTAATTTCTGCAGCGTGTCTGTGAGGTAAGACAGGAGGGTTGCATGGGGCAAGCTTCAAAATCATTGCCACAAATACCAATTCTTGTCCCTTAACTGATATTAAGGCAAGGGGGGAGCTTAATCCCAGTATTTGTCTGAGCTCCATTACAAGAAAAGATGGGGGATTTGTTTTCAAAGGATATAACGCAGAAGTGATTCTTCAAAGAGTTTCTGTATTTGTGTCCCTCTGGTCACCCACCTGAGTGGAGCACAGAACCACCACTCCCCAGTACTGTTACGCCACACAGCAAATTAATCTCAGCTTTTAGGACTTTCCCTGTACATGATTTGTGCTCTCTGTTGACCGGTGATCTTAGTGACAATTCCTCTGAGCAATTTCTTTCCACAACAGTGTGGTGGTTAACATGCATAAAGACGTATTTGGCAGGAAAGGCCATGCAGCATATTGAGATCTCATTTAGAATTATTACATTTTTAATCACAAACATTTGCTGGGATGATCAGGAGGAAAAATTTATGATGTAAAGTTCACATATATTTACTTTCCAACCTGCAATTGCTTTTTCAAATGAACAGCTCTCATCGTACTATATCAGCAAACTGTAACAGCCTTAAACTCTAGGTGAACTAGGGTTCAACCTTTAATATGAGTAATTTAGAGCCGACCTTCTGTGCTGTTGAACCATGAAATAATGTTTCCTTTTCATAGCACTGAACCCCACAACATGAAGAAAAATAAACAAAAGTTAAGCGAAAATGTTTAAATGAAGACATGGGTTACAAAAATATAAACCATGCCCAATCTATCACCATAAAGACTTAAAAATACATAGAGTTATCTTAATTATCTTCCACCTCTGGCAGAAGGTTTCTCTCTCCAGGCAGTTTTCACTGAAAATAGCAGTGGAAAAGATACAAAATTCTTGTGTTCTGATCTTCAGCTTTCTAACTTCTTATGATCAGGGAGAGCCAGGGAGCTAGCTGTTCATTACAAGCAAACATTGCAGATGAAATGAAATTCATTCACACATGTTCTACAAAGCAGCTACAATTACTTAGAGCACAATTAAGGATGCCATGATGCATGACATTAAAAAGCCCTGTACACTTTAAAACACACCAGATCTTTGCCAAAGAAAAGAAAGAAAAGAAAAATAAAACAACCCAAAGAACAGAAACCCTCTCTACAGAACTCTCAGAAACAGAAAACTCACCAACACTCCTCATAACTGCTAAAAAAACAAAAAACCAAAATAAAATTAGCAGATTGTTAGCAGATACCAAAAGCAGAAAACAAAACAATGGATGTTTGGGGAAATAACTGATTTGAGTCATCTTTTCAACAACACAGGTACATAACGATTATACTTGTAAGCAAAAAACCACAGATTGCCAGATGCTCATGTGTTGTTCTGGGGAAATGTGGATGCACCAAGCACAGTTTTGCCAATGAAAGGAGAAAGACCTGAATGATATCTATGTAACAGTGAAACCGAGGAGACGGATCTCAGTTCTACTATACCGGCTTTTATGATAACATGGAAGTACTTAAAAAGAGAGTTATTCTTCAAACACTGAACCTGCAGTTTTCATGGACCCAGAAGGAACACTTCTGCAAAGCTGAGAGGAAAAGTACTGGACAGAAATTAAGCTCGCCGACCTCTGTCAGAAGGAGGTTATTTCAGAAAGCAATAGTGGTATCAAAAGAACAGGAAGGGTGAGCCTAGCATACCAGTGTTTCCAGGTTTACACTTTCCTCTAGTCCCATCCTAGTGCACTCTAAGTCACGAATAATTACACTAGGCATATTTTTGCACCGATCTTTTTATCAGTACATATGTGACTGATGTTCACAGGATGCTGCTGTTCACGTCTCCGATGCCAAAATTAATCCTGCAGTTGGCATAGCCTGGTTCCCACGTCACTCCCTCCTCCCATCAGCTCCAAATCCTATAAATCCTTTCTTTGGAAGGGCATTATCAAGGTCTCTTATTCCCTGGCTGCAATGACTCCTTGTCCTGCTGCTCTCATTGTTCCTTAAATTCTCCATATTGCAGCAAAAGTAATGCAGACTCAGACAGCATTCTCTCTTCCTTGGGAGCTGGAGTGGGTGCCATGCAGGTCTCTCCCTTTAGCATACGTGACCTTCCCAATTTCTGCCCCTTCCTCTAGTACGTATGGTTGCACTTCCAGAGAGGCCACTAGACAGTCCCTGAAGACAAGGACTGTGGAGGTCATGTATCCTGCCTGTGGAGCAGTGAGGCCAGATTCAGAAGCCTAATCTGTGCATAAACCTCGAGGCAACGCACAAAAGCTTCCAGCAACAGTCCCAGAACCAAACCCAAGTTTTCAACAAGAAATTTGCCTATCAGGCATAGCTGTTCTGTACTAAAGAAATATCAGCAACAGGACCTTGAAACTATGAAAGGGGTGAGTGTCTCCTGAAAATAACGGGTTGAAAGCATGATGTAGTGTAGCTGAGGAGGTTCTACACAACTAGGCAGAATCCAAACCCAACACCCAAAATAGCTAAACCAACAAGTATTCAGGAAAAGTAAACATTTCTCTAAAAAGACTATTAGAAAGGGCCCATCAGTAAACAAACAAATATGGTAATATAAAGGAGAAACTGTTTTCCCTCTCCTTCCTTGGAAAAAAAACATGGAATAATCTTCACATTGTATAGTAGAACTACTGAATGAAGTGCAACAACAACATAGAATGGAGTGATTTTCTAAATCACTGAGCACGGACCAGGAGAAAAAGGCACAATAACAGCTGACACCAACAACATTTCTACTTACTGTTTCTTTGCCTCTTCAAATTTATGCAGCTTTTTCCGCAAGCCACCTGATTTAAAGCCTTGACAATGAGCTGCTGGCGCTCCGATGGTGACTATGTCGTAGTTCTGATCTGGGATGGACAAAAAGGACTTACAGATGAAAGCTTGTCATCCTTAATGTGGACAAACAATTGTGAAAATTCAAAAACTACTCTGAAAGTAATTTTAGTAAAACTTTGTGCCAGTGTTTCGAAGGACATGGAAAACTGAATTGTTTTAGAGGCCCTGGAAATCCATCAAGTACTTTTGAGGTGAAAGAACCATACTTGAATGCAGGTCCTCTGTTTCTTAATCTAGAAGACTGACAGTGAAAAAGAAGCCTTGAACACTGCTCTTTACACAAAACCTGCCATTACTGGAAGCCCTCACATGGATACATGGGAGAAGTGTGTGTCTATGGTTACTGGGAATTACTGTTAAAGAAAGGAAAACCTACGTTATTTATGAAGAAACAAGCTTGATGTGAACAAAGTGGTGTGATTTTGCATAACCATACATGATGGTTTCAGAGAAAAAGCACACAAGTTTAATAACAAACAACAGTCAGAACCTTTGCTATTCTGCTACAATTCAAAATGACTGGAAGGGACATAGCAGCTTTATTCAATGTATTCCCTAGTACAAAGGCTGACTTGTGTCATCTATGGTACAGTTAACTCCAGAATGTAGCTTTGGGACCTGTAGAATAGCAATAATTATACTTACACTTCTTTTGCGAAGAGATTTGGAGTCTGAGGATAGAAGGTGCTACAAAAATGCCAAGTAGCACTAGTACCACAGAGCAGTAGTTTGTAGAAACGTGACTATGTGACTGAGGATGGAAATCAAAAAATGGAGAGAAAAGTAGCAGAATAAGGTGGAGAGAGAGAGAAAGAAACAAATACCTGATCCTCCATCATCCTGGACTCTCATTCTCTGTATATGTAAATTTGTAGGAACAAATTCCAATTTTTTATCAGCTTTCAAGCTACTGGCTTTAAATGAAGGACCTGAGAAATGCAGGAGAAAAGTAAGCATAAAAACCCTCTGCTTCTGCTTATGCTAAAACATTCAAGGATCTTCATTCATCATTTGCTACATGATGAAATTAAAGCAGAGAAAAGAAAAAAAAAAGATGTATCTTTCTGTTACTGTTCATAATTGTTCTCTACTTTCAGGGTAATATAAGAGAATGCATAAAGCAGACAAATATTCCCAGATCATTAGCAAACTCACAATAAATGTTAATAAAGAAAAGAAATCTAATAATAGTGGTTTTTACTCATCAAACTAAAACATTCTGGGTTCCCAATTTCAGAGAAGCACTAACAATCACAGTTGAAAAGTATGACTTTATTTGGAAAAAGAAATCACCTTTATACTGGTGCAGGTCAGTTAGATTTTCCTGATAAGTTAAAATAATTGTTTGGTACTGAGTAACTATTTGTCGACGAAGGCTTTCCCAACAAGGAGAAAGTTCTCCCAATTCTTCTAGCTCACAAACCCTAGGGAGAAAAAAAAAAAAAAAAAAAAAGAAGAGGAAAAAAGAGAGATGTTTAGCTCCATTGTCCGCTTGACCAAGAATGAGTTCCACATGGTATCAATGTAGCACCATCCTCAGCCGACACATTCGCAATTCACTCTGGTCTAACCTACTCACCAGACTGGGAATGCTTGCAAACATACGCCCCAAAGCACAGCTATTAAGCTCTACTCCAAGATACCTAGGTTCCTCACAGGCAGAATATACCATGTTCCTCCCAGGAGCCTCAGATGTTGGTCAAAACGAAAGCATTCCACCTTTCTGCAGGAGCTCTCAAACTATATGATGATTTGGAAATGATGGGCACTGTCATTATGTCAGATGCGTTGGGACAATGAGGACCTTTTTAGGCCACTCCACTGAACTTTGGTGGCTCTCAAATTAAATCAGAACTGTGACAGAGGTTAGGTGGGAGATTAGCACCTATCTGACCTTAGGTACAAGGAGTATCTGCGCTGGCAATGTATCTACACAACAGTTTTCAAGGCTAGGCAGGGAAGGCCTAAGAAGCATAAGCATTAATAAGGGTTTGGAGAGACAAAAGATGAGCCAACAAAACCTTCATCTGAGACTCAGCACTCAAGTTTCACTATAGGTGGAATAAAGTATGACTGGGTACCCCTAGATATGAACAGGAAAACGTCTGTCTTTCCCATTGCATCCTGACTGCTAAGTTTTCGGTCACACATGGCAATTCTGTGTTACGTACCATTCCCCAACAGTGCTGCTGAGAAAATACTCAGTGTATTTCATGTCATGCTTATATTACTGTCTTCTTGGATTGAAATATTATTTGGAATAAAGGAAGAAGTGGAAAAGTAAACAAGTCAACACCAGACACAATTCAACAGCACATTACCCCAGAAAAGGTAGAACGATCATCTGTCAAAAGGATCCAGCAGTTCTTTTTGCAGTTCTCTTAATATCCCTATTCCATAGTTCTAACCAATTGTCTGTATATAATTTAAGACAACATTTCACAGAACGATTCCCACTCCACAATAGTTATGATATTATCAAAAGGAAGCAAATTTCCAAGAAAAACATCAGATTGATTTGTCAATAGGCAACAGTACAAACTATATTTATGAGTGACTTGGAAAAAGGCATTTCCAGTTTCATCTTGTAAACTGCTTCTGCATAAGATGCTATTATGACTACCTTGTTGAACTCCCTGCTCAAAACTAGCCATGCATCTCAGCCCAGGTCTTCCTGAAGTAAATTCACAGCTTAATACTTAAAGTTCACTTGCTTGTCCCATAGGGACAAGGCAGCAGGGGATGTGCATGCCATCAATAATTACGTAGTCAAAATATCCCTCCAGTTAGATGTTTACTTTCAAAGAGCTCTGGCTCAGAAGAGCTTTAGGAGACAGCAGCTGTGATTATCCAAGGACATTTTAAAAGTCACCAGGATGTTAAGACAGATGCATCTGTGCTTGTGTAGCTGTCCAGCATTCCTCTGGGCTGCAGCACAGAGAACAGAGAAAAGAGCGCTGGGCCAAATCTGAGAGATTCTATGAATACAAAGTGTGATTGTGCATGTCATTGAGGGTCACCTTAACTGAACAGGGAGAAGGGAGTCTTTCTTGCTAATTACACAAAAGTGATATTTACCTTTAAACCACGCAATTCAGAGCATACAAAGTCGTATTAGCAATCACCTGGGCTGTTACTAACCCGTAACCATATACCATATGTATCCATTGATCTCCGTAGGATTTTAGCAAGAGCCTCTGAACAGTCACATTTCATGTCTAACACCTTAAGAAACTTTACTGTCCACAGTCTTACAGAAAGCCACATCTTTTTTCCCCATTCACTCTAAATTATTCTCTTATTTTCTTCAAGGCCTTAAACTACCCCCATCACAGATAGCACCTTATGGGGAAGCTTGCCAACTCTTTACATCATTACGGCTGTACCTCATAATGAATAGGTGCTTTTAAACACACGGTAAGGAAAGTCGTAGAGAAACAAAGATATAAAATAAACAATGAATAACCCATGTCTAAATGCGTAATGGCATATCTCAAGCCCCCTCCATCAATGTTGTAGCAAGACAGCTAGGCAAGATACAGCATTCACTCTCTAGAATCTAAGATCTGATTACTCTTACTAAGTGTACATCACTAAAAAAAAAAAGACCTCAACAGCAGCAAAAAAAAAAAAAAAAAAAATCAGTGTGAGCTTCAGAACTCAAACAGTCATGTCATGCATTAGTTTTTCCATACATTACAAAAAGTCACTGCCATCTTCCTGTGAGAATTTATCCTTTTTGCAAGATACGAAAATACCTGAAAGCACCGCAGACTACTTCTGCCTGCTCATATGAATTAACACATGACTTTCTTCCACAATATCCCAAAGGAACTGAAATGTATTAATATAGGATAATGAGAGCACTAGTTTTGCTTTTAATTAAGGTCAGGCTTAGTTAGGTCTCTAAGAGTGGATTCAAACACAGCCAAAATAATAACTCAATACTCAAAAATACAGCTAAAATCCTTTCACCATACCAGTCTTGGCTTTTATAAAGAATATATAAACCATTATGTTTGCAAACCACAGCCTACAAATGTAGGGAAGTAAAACTCATAAATGAGTATGTTGCCTGGAAAAGAGTTAATTGCTTTAAAAAGAAGCAAATTCAGAATAAACCTACAACATGCTTAACAGACTTCCTTCTCCCTCCCACCTCCTAAAATCAGAAAAAGTCATTACTGTCCTACAGTGCCGCATTTTACTTGCCTTTATTCTGTTTGTTTTCCATTCAAAACTACTCTTCTGGCTCTAAAAGCCATCTCTTAACTCGCTGAGTGGATTCAGCGCTCCTGTCATCTATCTTTGCTTTCATAGCACAGAAGTCAAACAACTTTTTCAAAGTTCACCTTCAAAGCGATAAGGATTTTTCTTCTCTGTCTGCTACTCATTCCACTCAGCTGGTTTCTGTGTTGTCTTTGTTCCTTTCTCAAAATTGTCAGCAGCTGGAGTTATTACTCTTTCATTTATGCTGTCTCATCTATCCAGACTTCCTCCCACCAATGAAACATTGAGATATGCTTTATTTTAATTCAACTTCATTTTTCTCTTTATATTAAAAATAAACTATGTTTAAAAAACAAAGTGTACTGAAGTATATAAATGATTATATATATAAAGATAATGTATTCTAATGTGCTGGTCCTAATACAGTCACATGAACTATGGAATAATATATTCTGTGGCCTTATCAATACTTTTGTAACAGCAACAGATAACTGCAGTACACCTAAGCGTAGCTAACTGCAGTATGATCCTAAGCATTCATTATGCCAGCAATTCTCTCCCATCAGCACCTCTGTATGTTCACATTACCATACACTCAAGCCCAAACTCCACAGTCTGACATGAACTCTTATTCACTGTAATTGTACAGGCAGCAAGTCGCTGCTTTTACTATTTTTTCTTCCGTGCCTCTGTGCATTAAGACAGATACATTCCTTGGTAAGTCAGTAACAGCCATATCACTGCTGTATTACTGCAAATGTAAACTGGCCCGAACTCACCTTGCTGCATCTTCTTCTAGAAGAAGCTTCACAAATTGCCTAGGGATGTGCAGCGACAGGATGCTCTCAGCCATCTGCTCCAAGATTCTCAAGTGGTTTCCATCAGTGGTTGGGAAGCGATACATTCGGCAAATGGCACCACCAAACACTAAAGAATTAAAATCATGTTATTTAAGCATAGGGTTTGAGTTAAGAGTGTACAAAAGTCTCTCCTTTTTTAAAGCAAATGGCTTCGATTCACTAACGTGCTGCAACACACTGCTGTAAAGACCTGGTTTAAGCAGGCATCAGTCTAGCTTTTCCAAGCATGGTCATTCTGCTATGACCACTCTCCCAGTGTTTGCAGGAAAAGCTTCCAAATTATTTAAAATACTGTTAAGTAAAGGAAATATACATCCAACTTTAGAATTTTTTTTTTTTTACATACTGTGCATTTTCCTCTCATGCAATCATTTGCTGGAAAACTAACCCTTCTTCAAGAATTATTTTTTTTTAAAGTAACTGCTTTCTTCTGTCCCACTCCTCACTCCCCAACGATTGCTTGGGAATAGACTAGCAAATTGCATGGAAAATTTTATACTGCAGTCAACTTAATGACAAAAGTTTGCTTCTGCTGTTTTTACTATAAAAAATTGTGCAGATGATAAAATAATTTATTCTTGTATGACCCTCAACGGGCTGCTCAATCAGCAGCCTGTTCCTATTCAAATGAAACATCTGCTTAAATGCCCTGGGGCCACAGGCAGACAGCAAGAGATTAGCTTTTACTGACGCCTAAAGCTTACTTGTTAGAGCCCACAGCAGCTTACCAGATTTCAGTAGTGCATCTTTCCGTAATGAAGCATATTTGGATCTGATTCCTAAAGATTCTGTTAAACTTTCATCAACTGGCAACACAGTCTAAACAAAAACAAAACCCACAAATAGTAAAGAATAAAACCTCAGTGCCAAGGTAATATGCAGTGATGACCCTATTAAACAGACTTGAAAGGAATATTAAACACAATGCATGGTTAAAATAAATATTTCAAATGTGTTTACAGTGGACAAAAAATACTGCAGACTGAAATAATAAATCCACTTAAACCCTCCAATCTAAGCATTCTTATTTACTTCTACTGCATAGTTCAAAATGATCTAAAAATATTTTCATCCAGCCCTTCAACTACTTTATGTTAGCACAGCTCCAGAGTCCTTAAAGCTACTGCACCAATATGTAGCAGCTACAGGTCTGGCTGGATACAAAGTGATACCAATCCACATTGTGACTGTGATCCACAGATATGAGTGCAATTATCAGCAAGATATTCAGAACATGAGGTTTACAGCATGAAACGTGTCTACGCTGAGAATGCGCTATAAGTATCTGCTCTCAGACAAATACTTCGGGATCAAAGAAAAAAAATCCCATATTCAAGTAACCAGTTTTATTAAAAATCTTTTAAGCTGACTGTGAAAATTCTGGAAATTCCCTGAGCATCCCCATTACAGCTTTGCTTAATGCCACCTTCCAATTCATAGTGTGAACTGGAATACCATATCTTTGTGAGACTGGTTATGAATGCACCAACTGCACCAACATACAGTACCACAAGCACTTGAAGCTCAAGCTTCACCACTGTAAACTAAAATTTTCCCCAAGACTTCTAACCCAAACATGAGCACCAAGAGCTCTGCAAAATACAAAACCGTTTCATCACCATTAGGCTGCTCCTTATAGTATTTTGAAATTGTAAAGCTCTACTAAATATCAAGATGGACAGGAAAGTTGACAGCAGATGTCAACCTAGCTTATTTCAATGCTGGCAAGAAATCTGCATTTTTCTGAACTTGATACCATGCTCATACTCACCCTTCCATTAATTGTATCGGGTGACCTTGTCACTGGAGGCCTTTGGTCAGTTTTTTCCTCCATTTGCCATCCAATAACTGTAATGTTACCTACACGGTCACTTTCAGCCGACCTGCAACAAACACTCTGCGTTGAGATTTTTTTGGACGTGGACCTGTTTATCAACAAGGGAACACTTATAAAAGGCTATTAATCTTCAAACTTAATGAACATTTTAAATAGGAAGCTTTTTAACTTCATTTTACATAGTTTTATAATACATTATTCCAACAGGAAAACTCGCCTCTCATTCTGCAGGGATGTACAGATCTCCTAATTGAAAGCAACCTAAAACCATGCATGTGTTTCAATACTTCTGTAAAACCAGAAAGAGTTCAGATTTTGCAATATAGCCTGTTGTAAGCAAAAGCAGCTTAAATTGTGAACATTAACAGGGAGCGGACAATTGGATGTATGTGCACACGTGTGTGTGCCTGTGCATGTGAATGTCTGAAACCGAACTTCTTAACTCTCAATCAGAAGCCTGCTACTTCCTAGCTGGAACTGGTACAGTTGCAACTCATCAATTTTGATAACCTGTGGACTAAACAGAAGTGACACATCCCACATCTTCCACTTAATAGAGAAGTCAGTCAAGGCCACCAGTTAGGAGGCTGATCACATCTTGTGCTTCTGCAGACAGACCATTTAGATCGGGAAAACAGGGGGTCTGACATTCCAGAAAGAAAAGTTGACGCCAAAAAGAAGGATCCTGAAAAGAAGTGGTCTAGGGAAGAAGGTGGTGAAGATTCTCAGTGGAGGAAAGATCCCTGAGGTGGAGGAAGATCTTGGAGATCAGGGAGTTGTGTGGAAACAAATGTCAGAGATCCCCAGGGACCTGGCCATTATCAGCTGAGAGAGGTCACTAACAGCTGAGGAGCTGCACAGCACAAACAGACACCACTTTCTGTCCCACCTTCCCAGACCAGCAGCCATCTCCTTGCTGGGGAGGGAAGCTGAGACCATATGAACACATAACTGAGAGGAGAGTAAGCCATCGAGTCTGAGACAGAGAACCAAGTGGAGTAAAAGCTCTGATCATGCTGTTTTTTAAATACACACCAGTACCCAGATCTACCACGGCTGTCATGTATTCTGTCTCACCCATGATACGCAGTAATTTTGGCAGAGACTTTATGTTATTACTTTAAGATAGATTCTAAATGGTATTTTAAGATTGTTATTTACATGTAAAAATACGCTGGGACAACTAAGACAAAAAAAAGGTCTCTGGAACAGACAATACTGGGGAGGCAAAAGAAATAAGCACGTAAGATGACTGCAAGAAAAGGTTTAAGAATCCAAATGACGCAGCATGTTTACAGACATTGGCTCAGCATCCAGCTTATACATCTGAGGCGTAGTCTGACAATGAGAAGACATGAATGTATTCACACACTTTGATAATTAGAATATACTTGATATCAAAACAAGAGAGTTTAATAAAGTCCATTTTCAACTAAGTCATGAAAGAATGAACCTAACAGAATAACCATGCCTAACACAGAACCTTGAAACCCTTGCCATCACATTCCTCCTCTTTTTCATCTCCCTCAAAACACCCTCGTCTTCACACTTATGATAATCAATGTCATACTTTTGTGCTTTTTCTAACTCATTTCCTTCATCTGCTCCCCACTGTTAAATTATGTCAATTTTTTCTTTACAACACATTGTGGAAAAGCCCAAAACCTTACCCATCTCTTCTCTTAGCATGAAAAGCTTTGCCTATGCTTTGCTAGTTGTGTCTGGGCTAAGAAATTTCTGCAAGTTTATCACAGTCACTGCTTTTAGTGCTGATTATGCCAATACTACCAACACCATCTTCCTCAGTCTCTCTGACTATGCTTCTCCCCTTTAACTGACTTCCCCTTG